TTAACTGGGGCTCACTACACAGGCATGACTGAATCACTGTCCACATGGTTGCATCAAACTTTGGTTCCCCTCCCCTGAGGTCTGGCTGGTATCACATGGTGGGTTTTTCTGTCCTGCTGAAGGCCCACCCAAGAGTCACCTCCTTAGCATAACAAAGATTTCACTCACTCAGAGTCACCTCCTTAGCATAACAAAGATTTCAGTCACTCAGAAAATTCCAAGGATTAAGAGGTTATCTCCCAGGAACCAAGAACAAATCCCAAATTCTTTGGATAGGGTTAGTGGTACACCCCACCCTTGATAAACTGGACAAATTCCTAGAAAGACACAAGCTACCTAAATTGACTCAAGCAGAAATAGAAAATTTGAATAAACCTATAGAAAGCAAAGAGATAGCATTAGTAATCAAAAATCTTTCCAGAAACAAAAAGCCTAGGACCAGATGGCTTCACTGGTAAATTCCACCAAACGCTTAAAAGAATTAATTCCAATTCTTCACAAACTTTTCAAAAAAACAGAAGATGAAGAAACTCGTTCCGACTCATTCTATGAGACTAGCATTAGCCCTTTAAAAAAAAAAAAAAAGACTTCACAAGAAAACTACAGACCACTATCTTACAGATGTAGACGCAAAAATTCTCAATAAAAGTAGACGCAAAAATCCTCAATAAAATACTAGCAAACTGAACCCCGTAACATATAAAAGAGATAATACACCATGACCAAGTGGGATTTATCCCAGGAATGCAGGGATGGTTTAACATCTAAAAATCAATTAATATGATGCACCGCATCAATAGAATAAAAAACAAAAACCACATGATCATCTCATTAGACACAGAAAAAGTATTTGATAAAAATCAACACCCTTTCATGATAAAATGACCTAACAAACTAAGAACATTCTCAACCTGAAAAAGGATATCTACAAAAACCTACAGCTAATATCATACTTAATGATGAGAGACTGAAAGCCTTCCCCCTAATATCAGGAACAAGACAAGGATGAATGGATAAACAAGACTTGGTACATTCATACAACAGAGTAATATTCAGCCATAAAAAGTAATAAACTACTAATACATGCTACAGCACGGACAACCTCTGAAAACATTACGCTAAGCGAAATAAGCTACAGAAGGACACAGACTGCCTGATTTCATTTTCATGAAATGTCCAGAAGAGACAAATATATTGAGACAGAAATAGCCGCCTAGGGTGGGGGGTTGCTGGAAGTGATCGCTAAAGGATAAGAGCTTTCTTTTGAGGCAATGAAATGCTCTAAAATTGACTGTGGTGATGGTCGCACAACTCTAAATATACTAAGACCACTGAATTATGTGCTTTAAATGGGTGAACAATAAAGCAATTACCAAAAAAAAAAGCTATAAACCCACAAAGGCAGAATGAACAGGAAACAGCAACAGCACCATAAATTGGCAAACTGGAAAACAGATGGAGTAGCAGTATTGGGTTCCACAGACCCAAAAGAGTCAAATTCTAAACGGGCCCTGGGCAAAGCTGTGGACCAGCCTGATTCATCCTACAGAACACTCTAAGGCTCAGAACTAGCAGCCCAGGTACCTCCAGGGGCCTGTGGGGTGGGGGCCACCTAAATAAGGAAGCCCAGTGAAAGTGCTGGCAAAGCAGTGAGGGGCCTGGACACTCTGGCTCCAAGCACACCACACAGTGGTGTAGACAGAGGGCTAGAAGTTTACACTCTGGAGAAGAAAAGGAGATTCTCCAGATTGAGGACACAGACTTAGCCGAGGGCAGGTGTAACACCCGAGGCAGGGCAATGAAGTCATCATCTCCGTCACACTGGATGCGGCAGGCTGAGGTCTCTCTGCTCCAGACCCCGGACCTGACCAGCCCAGGCAGAACAACCTAAAGCCCTGACCACGGGAGCGCCTCAGTTAGACACCCCCCAGAAAGCATCTTGTGCTCAGAGCTCCTCTCAGCTTCTTACTCAGAGGCAGACACTGAAGGGTCACCAGACATCTGAAAAGAGCCAAACTGAAAAAAGTCACTTGGAAAAGACAGAGACAGCAAGACAACTATCGACAGACCTTCTCTCCATCGAGAAGAGTGTCCTGCGTGCTTTATGCTATCAGGAATACAACACTAGGAAGAAAGGCCTGGAGATGTACTTTCAGAATGTCACAGCCACTGGACCCCCTGTGGGGCACAGTCCTGCTTGGAAACACACAGAGCTGCTGCGCTTGGTTTTTAATGTCTTCTCCATGCTCTTTCCAGCTGTAAACCTAGGATTCTTTGCATAGTATGATTTTTGAAAGTGCTTATGGAATTTTCTTAGATAAAATGTCTAATGTTTTTATATTAGCTTCAGAAAAACTGTGTGGAAGTGTTTATCAGACAGTAAGCATGATTTAATATTTTACTTGAGCAAATTTTCAAAGGCTTTAAAAATGTCCATTTGAGATTGTCATTAAGCAAAATGTGACATGATTCTTTTTCAACTATAGTAAAATTCCTTTTCTTAATATTAAAAAAAAAATACAATACCATACAAAAAGAAATATTCAGAGAATAATAACGGAGTTCTTGAAAATCAAAATATGGGAGCAGAAAGGAAGAGCTCAATAGAAAGGCTGAAGGAGTGAATAGAATCTCCCAGGAAACAGAAGATGACGATGGAAAGGGAACAAGAGGGAGAAGAGCACCAGAACACTCAGCGAGATACCCAATGTCTGAAAACCTCCAGAAAGAAAGAACAGAGGAAGCGGATTAAAGGAGATAGTAAATACGATAGTTCCAGAAAACCTCCCAGAACTGAAGGCCTTGACTTCAGGCTTGAAAGGGCCGACTCGGTAGGTTGGCTGTGGATATAAGCTCGAAAGGCATCAATGGACACAAAAAAGCCAACAACCCACTGCCACTGAGTCGATTCCAACTCATAGCGACCCTACAGGACAGAGTACAACTGCACCACAGGGTTTCCTAGGAGCGGCTGGCGGATTCAAACTGCTGACCTTTTGGTTAGCAGCCGAGCTCTTAACCACTGCGCCGCTGGTGAACTGTGGCACTTAAAACTGGGGTCTACGAACCACTGTGTACAGAGCATCTCCTTTTACTTTCCCCTGCACATGACCCTTCCATACGTCGATGGAAGAGACTACAAAGTGGGGTACTGGAGCCAGACATGCATACGACCTTGAATCAGCTACCCGATCTCTCTGCACCTCCACGGCTCCTCGGTAAAATGGGGCAGCAGTGACACCCCGTGATGGTTGGGATTGTAGGTCAACTTGGCTGGGCCATGATTCTCAGTGTTTTAATGTAATCACTCCCATGATTAAATTTACTGTGAGTAGCCAGCCTCCTTGGGGGTGTGGCCCACATCTGGATATAAGCAGACGTTCTGGCTTTTTGCTCTCTCTGGATCCTGCGGCTGCTTCCTGTCGTCTCATCTCCGGTTCTTGGGACTTGAGCCGTCAACTTCTCTGCCGAACCTGGGATTCGTCGATCTGCACAGCCTGTGAGCGGGAGCCCTGCTCTCCGACCTTCCAATCTTGGGCTTGCCAGCTTCTGCGGCTGCGTGACTTGGGAGAGGCCTCTACCCTGATCCACAGACTTGGGACGTTCTATCCTCTACAATCGTGTGAGCTGTTTCCTTGATATAAGTCTCTCTCTCTATATATATTTACACACTTTACTGGTTTGGCTTCTCTGGAGAACCCAGCCTGAGACGCCCCCATAGGACGCTGGGCGGGTTGGCGGGGAGAACCATGAGAACCACTTAAGGCAGGGCCCCAAGCGAGCGAGCTCTCAGGGAAGGTCAGCCGCTGTCACTGTTACTCTGCCGCTGTCATTGCCAAGACTCACCAGGGATTTAGACTTGCCTACAAAGTACCCATTCTTCGCTTCTCTCCTACTAACAGGACTTGGTTTTATTCTAGGCAGCAATCTGCCCTACTAAACGCGTCTCCCAACCCACTTTGTAGCTAGGTGACTGCTGAGACGCATGCTGCAACGATGAAGAGAACCTGCAACACGCCCTCAATGAGTGCAGCCAGCTTCTAAAGCCACTCCTCTTGTCCCTGCCTCCTGCCTCCTTTATGCCTGGCCCGTGGGCACAGAGGCCGAACTGCAAGGGCCACAATGTGACAAGGGTGATCTTGAGAATGGAAGGCCCTGGTGACGTCCACGACACCAGCTCTGCGCAAAGAAACCCCCCAGCGCGTTCACCCTGCTCAAGTCGGTTTCCTACAAGCAGCTGAAGGCCAGTCCTAAGTGAGAGAGGGTCGCATGCACCCTGTGCAGACATAACAGGAGAGAGGACCTCAGCACTGGCTGGGCCATCGTCGGCACAAGGCAGTGTCGGAGAGGGGAGCAGGTTTCCTCCCAGGAGTTGAGCAGTGCTGTGGGGGTCATCGAGGACAGCGAGGAAGGCCGTGTGGCCCCCACCCCACAGGGAAGCCCTGGGCGGCTGCACATACAGGTAAGACACTATCCCCAGTGTGGAGCACAGTCAGCCAGCAGAGGACCAGCCCAAATCCAGGGCACCGCCTCCCACACCTGAGCACACTGCCCTCACCATGGGCCTTGGGGTGTCCACCTGCAGCCCAGAAACAAAGGCGACACCATGGGCATGAAAAGGAGGTGTCACAATCTGGAGAGGCAGCCGAACCTCTACACGGCTAAGCGTCCACTGCGCGCACAGCACGCCATCCAGCCACCAGCTGCTGGCCTTGGATGGCTGAGAATAACACATCCATGTGCCACAGACTGTAACTTGCCGGGGGTACCTCAGTATAAGCACTTTCGGGGGCTTTGCTTCTCACTGTTTGTAAATTTTTCCCTTTTCTAGCAGATCTCTTGTGTGTAGGTACGTGTGTATATGTGTGTTTGGGGGTGGGAGAGATCAGAAGGGTTTACGCAGGGAAACCTGGGTGAAGCAAAGAAATTCAGAGGCCTGGGAGAGAAAAAAATGCAAGACAAGGAGGAGACGTCCCTTCTGCCAAGAAGGAAGGCCTTACCGTCTTTCAGCAGCTCCGTCTTCATACAGGTGTCCTTCTTAGCCTCTCCCTTAGTCGGAACTGCCTGCTGAAAAGAAACAGAAACCACCATCAAGCTGGATTAACAACTAGGTGGCTGAGCAAGCACGCCCAACGCTCCTTCTCCAAACCGGCAGCATATCCACAGTTAAAAAGAGGCGAGGTACACAGTGCACGGCCCAGTGTCTGGCAAGCCAGCAGACAGCATGGCTGTCCTGGGAGGGGGGGCATCGAGACGGTGGTCCAGCGAAACTGCCACTGCACCTGACTGCTCAGAGACTGCTCTCTACTCACATCATTAGGAACACACCTTCACTGCAGGATGCTGGCCCCACCCTGCCCACATCTGGAGGCCCACAACTCTTCCTGTAACTTTTTCTGGAGTGCTTTCTCCAAAAAGACACCAAAAAATCTTCACAGGAACATTTCTACTTGAACCTTGGGCTCGCTGTTGAATCTCATTTAATGACAACTCTGGCCCCCAAGAGCTGAGCCTCGGGGACTGTGAGTGTGGTGACCACGCCATGTCCGATCACCCTCAACCACCAGCCCACATCAAACAGTCATCTCAACAGCCTGACAGCTCAAATCCCTCATACGCCGGTGGCGCCAAGCTGTCCAGTGCTCCGGCCACTCCCACTTGTGCCTGGTCTCTGGAGGACACACTGACAGCCTTCCTGATGGGCCGATGGCACTATGACACCAAGTGCCCAGGTCAAAACAGGGGTCAGCATCTGCTGCCTTCTCTAACCCCAGGCTATCACCCTCACCCTCCTTGGAGCTCACCTGCTGGATCAGGTCACCTGCTGCCTGTGAGCAGAGAGAGGACAGACCCCTTGGACCCACCCGCCCTCCCAGCATGGAAACCCTTGGGGGATTCCACGAGCTGGAGAGGCAGGAAGCCAGTCCGCTTGAAGGCCAGGAGCTTCCACAAAGGATGGCTTAGCAGTAGTCCACGCTTGTAAACTTGCACTGCATGGCAAGAATAATATTTACCTTAAAAATTACAATCTGCATGTTCAAAATATATTTTCCCTAGTTAATATTTTGCTTTGTGTGGTGGAATGGGTTCCTTTATGTGGCCTTGTGCTTTGGTCCTTTGGAAAAACAGCTTGAGAGATTCTCCTCTCAGCTCTAGTTTTATACCCCACAGGGTCTGTAACTTTTGTCCATGCTGACTGACATTTCCTGGGTAAGCTGTGAACAACTGGAGGTTTGATACCTTTTGTCTGGTCCTGGGCTGCAACCTGCCCTGTGATAGTTCTATTTTACACACCTTGTGGGGACTGGTCAACGTACTTGTATAAATGAAGTCACTATAGCCTACTATGCAAATGAAGTATCTGTGACCTACCGCAGTGGCCCTGGTGGGAGGGCCAGGCCTTGAAATTGATGGTGAGTTTGCTTATATATACAGCCAACCCCAGAGATTAGTAGACAGAAGCAGAGGAAGAAAGAAAAGAGAGAAACAGCAGAGAAAGAGCAGGCAAGGAACCTCCTAAAAGCACTGTGACATGGGTCAGGGGCAACACTGAAGACAGTGAGAGGCCCTGTGGCAGAGCCAGAGCCGTCAGCAACAGGACCAGACGGGGCCCTGAGGCAGAGACGGCGGTGAGAGCAGAAACCTGCTGCTAGCAACGCAGCTGAGAGAGTGGAACCAAGCTGCTACGCTGGCCACGAGCTGGGTCAGGGAGCAGTGGGGACGCCAGCAGCAGGGAGGCCGAAAGCAGAGGCCTGTCCTCAGGGAGTCAAGAGGAGCAGAGTGAGAGCTGTCCTGCAGTGAAGAAGGGAGGGATGTGCTCTCCTCTTTGGGGAAGGCTTCCAGACTTTGCCTGATACTGACCCTGAGTTGTACATCCTGCTGCTTCCTTAATAAACCACTTAACTGTAATTATGGTCTGTGAGTTCTGTGTGGCCATTGCAATGGATTATCCAACCCAGAAGAGAAGTAGCTGTGGGAGCAGAGAGCTGGTGTCAGAAATAGTTAAAAAAAAAAAGGGGGGGGGGGCGGGGAGCTCGAGAGTGGAGGTATGTCTGAGTCCATGTCACAGGGATCAGCCTTGGGCTGATCTTGATCTACATTATCCCCCCGGAAGTTAGACAGGTTGTGAGACTACTACTACAACCATATTACACTTTGATTTGGGCTTCAGGAAACACAGATGGAAGGGGACAAGTAAACCTGCTGGGTTTATGCATTAAAGTACATTTTTACACAAATACGAATGGCCATTACTGGTCAAACGAGTCACTGGAAGTCAGAATCAAAGTTAACACCCAGGGTTCCCCAAGTATGCCTTGCTGACCTGGAAAAGGGGCAAGTAACCAATCAGGAACCCAACTCCAGACAAACGGTTTGGGGTCAGCCTGAGGTCCAGACCCAGCTGGGAGAGGTCCCTGCCCACCTGCCTTGTCCATCTAAGAGGGAGGACGCTCCTCCCCAGGCCTCAGGGTACCACCCTGCACAGCCAGTAGACCCGGGCATGAGCCGCATCCCTGGATGCTACCTTCTGGACAACGTGGCCACTTGCTGCCCACCACGGCCCAACAACACCTGCTCACTGGATTTAAACCCTCCGTCACACATGGGTTGGACAGCTTCAGTGGTCTTTGAGAGAAGTTCCTGCATACCAAGGAGATAGTGTCTAGTCACGCACATCTCCTGATGACCAAGCAGATGACTATCTTCACACTCTGCCCAGTCTGTCAGTACCTGCAGTACCTGCTGCAAAGACAAATGAACTAGTTCATCATAGCCACAGTGACATGCCTACAATACTGCCCACAGTGTGACCATGTTCTCTCTCTCCCTACTTAAATACACCACGATCTCAAGTTTCCTCAGCAAAGTCTGAATGAACAGACACAATTCCCCTTCCTTTGTCCAATGTCCTAGATAATATGAAGAGTTTCCGTGTCTGTCAACGAACCAGTGATGACAACAACAATAATTCTCGGTATCCTCCGCAAGTGCTCGCCATTCCCCACCGCGTCTCTGCACATTCACCCAGAGGTAAGAGTCAGCACAGGGCTCCAAAACCTCCGCACCCACCCCTCAGCCATCCCAGCAGTGTCCCCTCTTCAACTGCACCATGAAATCACATTTTCCGCAATATGTTAAACTATAAAAAGGGGCTGTAAAGGGCAGAACAGTACGAGAGGAAAATATAACAATCTTATTTCAGTGTTCTTCTGTGCATTTCTCCAAAAAGCTCTGTTCTCTAAAACTACCTAAATTACAAAAAAGCCTAATTGTAACTTAACTTTATTTTACAAAAATGGAACTGTGCAAACTACTTTGGAAATGAATCTCTCTCAAAATTCATTCTAAGTTACCAGATACAATATAAACAGCCCAAAGGAAATATTTCTAATCTCAACAATGAACTTTTAATCATGAAAACTATCATTAATAAATTTATGATGGTGAAAGTAATATCCTTAAAGTTCTCACAGACTTAGCTGCTTCCAAGTACTTTCATCTTTAACAGCGTAGATATGGGCATACTGAGGACCCCACCTGTGGGCAAGGAGAGGGGGGAGGTACCCCAGGGAACAGAGGTACCATGGGGAGTCTGCCCCACGTGCCACAGAAATCACCCACTGCGATCGCTAAGGTTGTGTGTCAGCCCGGCTGGGCCACGACTCTCAGTGGTTCAGCAGTTATGATGTAGTTTGGCAGTCACATAATGATGTAATCACCTCCATGATGGGATCTGATATAACGTGATCGCCTCCATGATGGGAATCTGCTGTGAGTAGCCAATCAGCTGAAAGGGAATTTCCTTGGGGGTGTGGCCCACATCCAATATATGTGAACTTTGTGGCAAAGCTCGCTGGCTTTTGCTCTGCTCCGGATCCTGCATTCAGCTCATCAACATCAGTTCCTGGGACTTGGGCCAGCAGCCTGCCATCTTACCTGTCAATCTTGGATTCGTCAGCCTTCGCAGCAGCCCTGAGCCAGCAGCCTGCCATCTGATCTGCCCATCTTGGCTTTGATGGCCCCTGCAGCTATGTGAGTCAGGAGAAGCCTCCAGCCTGACCATTTCCTTGAGATAAATCTCTCTCTCCCTCTCTCTCTCTCCATCCCCCTCCCCATATATATATTCACGTTCCACTGGTTTTACTTTCCTAGAGAACCCAGCATGAGACACTCACAAAACACCAGAGTCCGGTGCAGAAAGCGGCTGGCAGATAGGTCGATTCCAAATGTGAGGTCGACTCCAAACGTGTGGCTGGAGCTCTGGGCCCTGGGGGCGACATGACGAAGGAAGGGGACGCAGCCACAGGCCCAGCTCCCTCTCCTGCCAGCAGGCAGGGACACGGCGTGCCCCGGGAAACCATTTCCTAAGGTCCCCACTGACGCGGCGGCCACCATACAGAGATGCCCCACAGAGCACTTGGTATCCAGGCATTTCACACAGGACTCAAGGCTTCAAGCAGGCATGTAGAGAAGGATAAGGCCTGAACTAGTACACAAAGCCCTTAGTTATAAAAGAAGTCAAAGCCATCGCAGAAAGACTTGTGTGAACTTCATGGAAGCTCATGGCTGCAAACAAGGGCACCATGAACCACGCAGGAGAGGAGGAGAGTGGAAGACGACATTCTCCGTGGGCCTGGTGTCCTCAGCAACGTTCCCAGAGTCCTCCCATGCTGCTACCTGCACTGAGGGGCGAGAGCCAGCTTTCCCTGCCATCTACCAGAGCCCTCGGAGACCCCATGACGGCACCAAGTGAAGACACAACAAACACGGGCGCCGGCTCTGAGAAAGCACTGGTCACAGCACCTGGAACGTTCACACATGACTCCTCAGGCATCCAGTGCTCAGTCGAGCAGAGGGGGCCTCCCTACCAAAGGCTGGAGACGTTTCGGTTTTACAAAATAAGACAATGTCCACATAGACCTGCCATTTGCTCTCCTTTGCTTTAAGGACGCCTAGGTATGGAGCAGACGGCCTCTTCCCTTCTCCGTGACAACTGTAACGACGCCAATAAAGAATCCCAAACATCAAATGGTTTCTCAGAGATGGGAAGCATCTTCAGTTCTGAA